ATGAGATTTGATTATTTATATGTTGTTATGATATGTTGTTCTATTTCAATGATGATTATGATGTTGTTGTGAAATATTATGAAGATGATTTATGTGATGATTATGTGATGAATATGTGATGATTTACGTGATGATTTATATGATGATTATGTGATGATTATGTGATGATTTATGTGATGATTATGTGATAATTATGTGAATGATGAAACACTTGACTAGCCTTGGTCACATTTATATGACATTGTTATGTATCATGCATTCATAGCATTTTAGGATGTCGGCCCATCTGTGTTGTTGGACGTTTGTCCAGTGACGGCCTCAATCCCATTGTGTGGATTGAGTGTGTTATTATGGTGTGCTTAGGTTCCAAGAGGGAATTGATGCTACAGTTGGGATCATTGAAGGGCGATGACCCAGTGTCCATCAAGGAAGTTTGGTACCATATGCATTTGACTAGCCGTGGTTGCATTAACATTCTATGTGACATTGCATAATTTTCATTGATGAGGTGTGCTATGACGATAATGTTTGAAGTATGTGACTATATGAAATTTTATTGATGTGTAATACCCTTCTAAACCCTAAGGAATATTCGCAATTATTCTAATAAATAAATCATAGTATTTCACCAAACAAGGGTGTCACATCTTCATATAAATTGTGATTACTCGCCCTTCATATAGCATGTGTTCTTATGTGATGATGTTGTTGTTACTACTAATCTTTTCCTTATGTATTATATAATAAATCGTGATTACTCGCCCTTTATGTTTGAATGTTGCCTCCACGAGGGTAACACGCAAGTGATCAGAAGTAGTTCGTTGAAGCTTAGAGGATAGACTCAGTGTATTTTATTTATTCCATTTTATTAGGTGTCTTGCTCTGATATGTAACATCGGGTTGGGAATGCTTTGTTTTGCAAATATGATGTTTCTCTTATGTTATGTTAACATGTTTTATGGAGATTTTAATTATAGTTTGGCTTTAATAATTGATGATACTAACCGTCATGAATTTTTGAGAAGTCAATTATGTTGTTATACGATGATTCTGCTGCGATATTTTTAAAGTGATGAGTTGTTCTATAAAGATATGTTATTGTTATTGATGTAACCCGTGTTACGGAGCATAAATGTAAGTGTGATGTTTTGTTATGAAGTGTGACACTCTTGTGTGGCGACTTTAATTAATTTATTTCATAATTTAAATGAAAAATATATGTGGAGTTAGAAAGGTGTTACACATAACACATGACAATCTAATCTACACCTCAAAGTTATCATCCCTAAGTCTTTCAAGTTGCTTCAGCCTATAGAAGATGCATTCTAACTCATTGTGAAACTCAACAAATCTCTGAGTCATGTAACTTCACATATCTTCCATTTAGCCTTATAGATGCTGGAGTTGATCCATGATCATCAGGTATGTTTGAAGTTTGGAGGCAATTCCAAATGGGTCATGAGATGTAGAAGAAGAAAATGATGATGGTATCAAATCACTCTTATGGATGAATGTTTACTTGTCCCTATCCCAAAACACTCCCCTTTTTCCAAAAGTTCCTCTCTTAATCATATTCTTAGATTCATTCATTTTTACTTTTACTTATCCCCGCAAATCAACATTGCAAAACTTAAGAAGTATACTGATATCCCAAGCATAGAGTATCCTGATAGTTTTCCCTCTAGATATGAACATTTTAACCTTCATAATATATTGCCAATTCAAAGGGATGTTATTTTCATGGAAAATAGCCTTTTGATTATAAATTCACTTATTTGAGAGTAATTGAAAGATTTAGGCACAATGATATAGAACAAATTAATGGAGATGCCTATCATCCAAAATTATATTCCCAAAAATAAGTTTCTTGTTCATAATCTCTTCTTCAATCAAATGAAACTAATGTTAAGACATAGTGTAACACCCCAGATTTTTTAGAATTAAATATTTAATTGATTTTTATGAATTATTGGTGATTATCTATGTGATGTGTATGATATCTTTTGAGATAGTATGAATTAAGGTGATTAATTAGAGTAATTTAGATTTAAATAATTTAAGTTACATTGTTTAGAATTATTTAGTAATAATTAAATAGAATAGTAAGGTGAAAAGAGAGAATAAGGGAAAATATGGTAAACATGATGAGTATTAGTGAGGGTATGACTGGAAGAGCATAGAAAGGGTCCAAGGGGTAAAATAAGAATAAAGAAATAAAGGAATTAGAGGTCAGTCTGTACAATTATGATTTTTGGAGAAAAGTTAGAAGCGATTAGGGCACAAAGAGAAGAGAAGAGGAATTCATCCTGTAGAGCATGAAAGAGATCAAAGTGCTATTCGAGGTAAGGAGTTTAATCGCGTTTATTAAAATTGATTTCGGGTTAAGGTAGCGGTAGGTTTGTGTTTTGTATGATGATTTTGATGAAGATTGATGAAATTGGTGAAACTCCTGTGTTGAATAAATGAACAGATGAATCCTTGATGAATGTATGATGTTGGAACCTCTAAATAAGTGTTATATGTTGTTATAAATGTTATATAATCGTTGGATTTCTAATTCTGAAATTGAGACTTTTTACATAATCGAATTTAGAGGTCTAGAAGGCCTCCAACCGCGAAAATTGCAGGCTGAGAAATGTTGTTTCGCAAGCAGCGCCGAGTGATGAAGAGGCGAGGAGACCGCCTCAGCAGCGCTAGGCGATAAAGAGGCGAGGAGAGCGCCCCAACAGCTCCAGGCGAGCCTGTGGCAAGAGAGGAAGACAGAGCCCCTGAAAAAATGTATGGAGTGCCAGGACATCGCCAAGCGGTGAAGTGGCGAGCATAGTGCCAACAGCAGTGCTAGGCAAGCATTAGGTGATACAGTCTGACATAATTTTCAAAATATCATAACTTGAGTTTCAGGAATTTGTTTGACGCGCTGTTCGAAGTGTTTGGAAGCTGTCATTTTAAACTATAATGTGATAGAATAATATGAGATATATGATGTATGATTTGCATACTTATATGTTTATGAGATTGATTATTTATATGTTATTATGATATGTTAATCTATTTCAATGATGATTATGATGTTGTTGTGAAGTATTATGAATATGATTTATGTGATGAATATGTGATGATTTATGTGATGATTATGTGATGAATATATGATGACTTATGTGATAATTTATGTGATGATTATGTGATGATTATGTGACGATTTATGTGATGATTATGTGATGATTTATGTGATGATTATGTGATAATTATGTGAATGATGAAGCACTTGACTAGCCTTGATCACATTTATATAACATTGTTGTGCATCATGCATTCATAGCATTTTAGGATGTTGGTCCGTCTGTGTTGTTGGACGTTTGTCCAGTGATGGCCTCAATCCCATTGTGTGGATTGAGTGCGTTATTATGGTATGCTTAGGTTCTAAGAGGAAATCGATCCTATGGTTGAGATCATTGAAGGGAGATGACCCAGTGTTCATCAAGGAAGTTTGGTACCACGTGCATTTGACTAGCCGTGGTTGCATTAACATTCTATGTGACATTGCATGATTTCCTTGATGAGATGTGCTATGACGATAATTGTGAAGTATGTGACTATATGAGATTTTGATGATGTGTAACACCCTTCTAAACCCCAAGGAATATCCCAATTATTCTAATAAATAAATCATAGTATATCACCAAACAAGGGTGTCACATCTTCATATAAATTATGATTACCTGCCCTTCATATTGTATGTGTTGTTATGTGATGATGTTGTTGTTACTACTAATCTTTTCCTTATGTATTGTATAATAAGTTGTGATTACCCACCCTTTATATTTGAATGTTGCCTCCATGTGGGTAACACGCAAGTGATCAGGAGTAGTTCGTTGAAGCTTAGAGGATAGACTCAGAGTATTTTTTTAATTCCATTTTATTAGAAGGTGTCTTGCTCTGATATGTAACATCAGGCTGGGAATGCTTTGTTTTGCAAATATGATGCTTCTCTTATGTTATGTTAACATGTTTTATGGAGATTTTAATTATAGTTTGGTTTTAATAATTGATGATACTAAACGTCATGAATTTTTGAGAAGTCAATTATGTTGTTATGACGATGATTCTGTTGCGATATTTTTAAAGTGATGAGTTGTTCTATAAAGATATGTTATTGTTATTGATGTAACCCGTGTTACGGAGTAAGAATATAATTGTGATATTTTGTTATGAAGTGTAACACCCTTGTGAGGTGACTTTAATTGATTTATTTCATAAATTAAATGAAAAATACACGTGGAGTTAAAAAGGTGTTACACATAACACATGACAATCTAATATACACCTCAAAGTTATTCTCCCTAAGTCTTTCAAGTTGCTTCAGCCTATAGAAGATGCCTTCTAACTCATTGTGAAACTCAACAAATCTCTGAATCATGTAATTTCACATATCTTCCATTTAGCCTTGTAGATGTTGGAGTTGATCCATGATCATCGGGTATGTTTGAGGTTCAGAGACAATTTCAGATGGACCAGAAGATGTAGAAGAAGAAAATAATGACGGTATCGGATCACTCTTATGGATGAATGTTTACTTGTCCCTATCCCAAAACACTCCCCTTTTGCCAAAAGTTTCTTATATGCTAAATATGAATTTCACTTTCTATTTTTTTCAACGGGGTCAATTCTATTATTTATCAAATACTGATACATCATGTCACTTTAATATACTGATACGGATACTGATTCACTTCTCTTTTTTTCTTTCTCATATCCTCAAAATACATGGTACAGAAAAAAAAAATGTTAATTATAAATTAATCAGAACTCCCATGTATCCTACCTAATCTGGCTTTAATTCTTTCTTGATTGAATCTTAATCATTATCAACAATAATGATTCTTGAAAGGAACACAGTACAAGTAATTGCAACAATTGTCACATAAACTAAAACCTAATAATTAAGAAAACAATGCAAGCTTAAAAGCCATTGATCAAAAGAAAGAAAGAAATTAATAAATCTATTTTCTTGTTCCCACCCTTTGATTTTTCCTCACCTTAACCCTTCCATCACCTTGAACTGAACCCTTCGGTTTCTTTTCCCCCTTTTTCTCTCCAATCTGATTTTCTTTCTTGTGATGATCATAGCAATAGTATTCATTAACCTCATCATCATCATCATCATCATCATCATCATCATATGCATCCTCTTCCACTTTTTTCTTGAAACATCTCAAAGGATTAACATTAACACCATAATGAGTTGGTCCAGAAGAAGCATCAGAAACCATAGAATCATCACTTTCAATTCCAGCATCACCTTGAATTTGATGAGTCACTTGATAACAATCCACTTTATCATCATCATCATCATCATCATCATCATCACCATTTTCATGACTTACTGGAGATCCAATATACATAGTCCATCCAGATTCACTGCTTTGACATTCCTCTTGACCTCCCAAGAACATGTGATGAGGTGGCTCCATACTAAGGAGACCAAGAAAGAAAAAAAGAGAAGAAGAAGAACTTGTAAGTCAGTGATGGACCATGAAAAATAGTAGTAAAGCATTTATATACAACTAACTATATGTCTCTTACAAAGGGTTCCAAATAAATTCATAAAAATAATAATAAAAATAATAATGATAATTATTACTATAGATGTGTTTCTGAACACCTGAAAATACTCATTAATTACCCACCATCATCAAAAGAGAGGTAGAAGCTGTCAATGAAAGTGAAACAAAAAAAGCATAAATACAAACAACACTTCCATAAATTTGAAAGATAGAAAGAGTTGGTTGGTTTTACTTCATCACATGGAGAAGAATATATACAAAATCAATTACAAACATCATTACTTCTCTGAATAGGTCATAAATAAATAAAAATGACAGCATAAAAAAATGACAGCTAATGTATATAAATGCAAAATTTGCAGAATCAGAGATTGACACAGCCTATAAAACAGGAGAGAATATAAGACCCATATAAGTCTAAGTAGGATTGCAAACAGGACCTCTTCAATACCTGATTTAGCTCTTAACTTCTTTAAATATCTTGTCCCTTCATATCAAACAAATACCCTTTTTTCACTTTTCTCTTCTCCTGCTTCTAAATATTACAACTGGATTTTTTGAATTTTTTAGATTATGCCCACACTATATATAATAGGACAATGAAGTTTCTTGTTGAAAATTTATAACACTTCTCCAATATCTCTCTGCATGTAGATCTTTCTACTTATAGACACAGGATCACAAAGATATGATCATGTGATCAAAACCCTCAGACTTTTTTTTTCATGGCTTGAAATGAAAAAGCATAAATGCAATATATAATATGGATAAGATAGTGGAATAATACATAGTCACCAACATGTTTTTAATGATTATAATGAAAATTGATTTATGCCACGGGTTTGTGAATAACCAGATAGATAGATTGTGATGTTTATCTACTTGGAATTGCATGGTTGAATTAAAACTATATCATATTCTCTATCACGAGAAAACAAAGTATACCCTACCTACAAAGTATACCCTACTTTTTTTCTTCTTCTTTTTGTATTCCTCAAATTTTGAATTACAAATAATGCACAACATTTTCCTCTTCATTAAAACAAAGCGGTCACACCAATTCATGAGTACTTGTAATCACATTCCTCTTAAAAGGCTCATCTTTTGTTTGTAATTTGTGAATGAACAACCTCCATAAAAAATTTGGATTTTACTTTCCAAAGCCATAAATCATGAAGTACCTAAAAAATCCTATCTTTTTGCACATACTCATCCAAATCCATCGATGCCAACACTTGGTAATTATGTTTCACCGGAAAACCCGTTCCGCATTTCCACCAAACATGGTCGTCGTGCGCACCAATACTGTTGGGTCGAATATCTTGCAGCATAATCAGGTAGATAACTTTTTGTGGCGTTGCTAACATACACAAATGAAGCATGTGGTGCATCCATGCGGATCCAAAGGCCAAATCGCTCAAATTGTTTGAAAAAGTGAATGTTTAAAATCTTTATAAGTGAAAAGACCCATACACCCATTGTCTTAAGGTTTTGGAGGAATCTGGATATATCTCTTATTTGATTGGGTGAGTCTTTGATCTGATGTGGATATTGATTTCCTTCATGATTACCCAATAGATAGTGTGATACGGTGGGAGAACTAACTTGGATTTTTGCATTTTGTGTTCGCAAATGTTTCGGTTTAGCAAGAGTCGCCACCGACTTTTTATTTTATCCTAAGGAAAGATCAAAAAGCACAGGAAAAACCTTTGAGATGTTTTCTTGAGTTCGAGGAGTAGATTATAGAAAGGGAAGGTATTAGAACCCTTTCTATCCATGATTATCCATGGACTCTTAGTTACTTGCTTAGATCACTTGCTTTGATTTTCAATTGTTTGAAATGGTGCTTTTCAAATGTTTGAAATGTTGCTTTGTGTGTGATTTTTGAAGATGTTTTGAAAAGAGGTCATCGTTGTGGCAAACTTTTGTAATGATTCTTGTTTGAATGTATACAAAGGTGTTTTTGTCTTTCGAAAGGTTTTCAATGTTTGAAAGTAGGGTTTTGAAATTGTGTTGTGAAGTGTGTTTTGAAAAGTAGCAAGGAGGTTTTTTGCAAGTTTGATCAAGTAACTAAGAGTTATCTACCTTATTTTACTCAAAGATCTTTCTTATGTTTTTAACCCTTTTAACAGTGTTGTTTCACCATTGTATTTGATGAATAACCTTGTGTTAGGATGTTAAACGGGACAGGCGCGAGTCATCGTATAGACCATGATAGCAATAGTGTCAAGTATTTTTGGCAATTTTCTTGAGGGACTTGATCATTTTTGTTTAGGCAACTCAGATAGCGTCATCGAGGGACTATGATCTTTTTGTTTGTTTTTGTTTTGCCAAAGTACTTAACATGCAACCATGACCCATTTTTGAAGGCAACAAGTGGATGAAACCCTAGGGGTGCAAGTGTGCATTGTGTTTGTTTTTTCATGCATGTTTATCTTGGATTAGGTCAAGCTACTTGTTGATTTTATTTGCATACAAACCCTAGGTCTAGGCATGGTATAATTGAAAGCTTTTAAATGTGCAAGAATTTAAATGCTACACTATTACAACATGATATAGGGAGGGGGATACAAATTTGAATTGGGGATATTTGACAAGGAAATAAATTTTAAGTTATTACAACCATATCGAATGTACAAGTCAATATTTAACATTTAAATAAACACAATTAAATAAATATCAAATAAAAATGTATTATGCAAAAGATTTTTTATGTATGTGAAAAAGATATTTTTTAATGTGAAATATAAACAAATAAAAAAAAGTCAAATTTTAATTACTTTGGTTATTTTAGGGCAAAACCCTAATTTTCAAATAAATAGCCATATTTATTAATTATATACAATAATATATTAATTTATACAAAAAATAAAAGTATATTGTAAAAAAGTATTTTTGGTGTCAAATATTAATAAAAATAAAAGTGTACTATTTTTGTATTTTTTGTCCTAATTATCTAATAAAATAAAATAAAGTATATATATATATATATATATATATATATATATATATATATATATATATATATATATATATATATATATATATATATATATATATATATATATATATATATATATATATATATATATATATATATATATATATATATATATATATATATATATATATATATATATATATATATATATATATATATATATATATATATATATATATATATATATATATATATATATATATATATTAAACATATTAAACTTATAAAATGATAAACATATTAAACATATATATATATAAAAATGATAAATGAAAAATAAATATATCTTTTATATTATTTTTTAGGGTTTTAATAAAAAGGATTTAGATTATTTACATATGTATGCTTAATAAAATAAAATAAATATCAAATAAATATGAAAAAATATGGAAAATTATTTTTTTCATTTTTATATTTCATATGAAAAATAATAAAGTCAGAATAAAAATAAAAATGTCACAAAAATGATAAATATCTAATAAATGGGCCAGGGGGTGTAAACTGAACATGGGGGGGGGGGGGGGGGGGTGCCAGAAGCAAGCCTGTACAGGCCCAGCCCAAGCCAGCTTCTTCTTCAACCTCTAAACAAAATATGCGCGTGCCTGGTTCAAAAGCTATCTCCTGATTCTTTGTTTGATCTTTTGACAAAACTTAAAACATGAAACTTGTAGAGCATCAAATAACGAATTCAACCATATAAAAAACTTGGATTAACTCTCAAAGACCAGAGAGAATTTCTCTGGCCCTAAAATCTGACCTAGCTTTTTTCACATGTTCATGGATGAAATTCTCCTAGCACACTTAATATAAATGAAAGCTGAGTGTTGCACCCCAAAATTTACCCTCTCATGTTTTCCAAAGTCTTCCCCCTGCATGGTTGATCACAAACTCTTGCCTAAGGAAAAGGAAAATTTTTTAGTGGTGCTTTAAGTACATTTCGACTGGCATTCTGAAAGACTCTTCGATTGGCATTCTGAAGGAGCATTTCGATTGGCATTCTGAAGGAGCACTTCGATTGGCATTCTGAAACACCCTTCGATTGGCATTCTGAAGGAGCATTTCGATTGGCATTCTGAAGGAGCACTTCGATTGGCATTCTGAAAGACCCTTCGATTGGTATTCTGAATGAGCCTTTCGATTGACATTATGGACAAGCATTTCGATTGGCATTCTGAAAGACACTTCGATTGGTATTCTGAATGAGCCTTTCGATTGGCCTGTTGACAAAGCCTTTCGATTGGAATTTTAATTAGTACCCTTCGATTGATCTTTGGACAAGGGCCATTCGAAGGAGGTCATCAAGAGGGCACTCAAGTCAAAAGCGTCCGGGTTCATTCAAGAGACACAAATGTTTCAAAAAAAGGAAAACTTTTAAGGTGTCTGTTTCTTGTCTCATGGCATTTAATGGCCTGTTTAATGGCTGTCTCTTGCCATTACTGCACCCTCACATCCCTATAAATACAGAGGCCAGCATACATATCCAGGACACGAAAATTACACACACAAAAACTCTGCAGGAGAGGACAAAAATATACAGAAAAAATAGAGAAAAGAAGCAGGGAGAACTTGGAGATACGCTGCCAAAAGTCCTCAGCACTTCCAGGAAGCCATACCCAATCCTTGCACCAGCCAAAGCTGCCACCCAGCAAACACCTCCACCCTCAGAACTACAGATCAAAGCACCTATGTTTGGTAAAGAAATCTAATCCCAAACTCATTTCGATCTCTGATTGCATAACATATTATTACTTGTTGTTGCCTTTGATTTTCCATCCTAGACAGGATCGAAAGGCCTGGGTTTGGCGCCCAGGTCATGTTCTTCATTTGCCAACACTTGCTGCAGACATAGCCTGAAGAGACCCAGCAAGCGCAGGATCGAAGGGCCTGGGGTTCAACACCCAGGCCC